GAAAGTGTAGCACAAAGCTATTCTCAGAATATAATTTTATATAAAAAGATAAGGATTATATGGAAAGCTGCTGAAAAATCTTGTCATCCCTTTATATAAAGGAAAATACAAATAGTATAAATAACTAATACACCCCTCCTCCCCCATGCATCTCTCATTCCACCTTTTGAGAAAAATTTAAATGCTGTAGATATGACAGGGTTCTCTGTATCATATGCCAATGGTAGAATTTTAGTGTGGAGTTCTTCCAGGTATCTCCTAGTTCAGAGAGTATGGTATCACATTGTCATAACAGTTAAAACTTAAAAATGATTGGTAATAGAGGGTTTCTAAGAAAATGAAAGAGAACTGAAAAACTGCGTGTGAGAAATAAAGTAGTATCTTGGTGTAAGATGTAAACATCGGTTCTAGTGATAAATTGAGTTGTTCCTAATGACCTACTGTTCCTATATCAATTTCCTTCAGGAGAGTATTGTTGGGATTTGTAAGTAAAATATACTTTTTTTCCGCATTTGCTTAGTCTGAAACACGCAAGTAGGAGATTTTTAAAGCTCTTGAGTTTTTGTCAAGGTTGTTTATATGCATAGGAGAGATAATGTAGTCTGAGTTTTTGAAGGTGAATTAGAGACGTTCAGAATTTCAGTGTGACTTGCTGCTAAAACTTTGTGGCATTTGGGAATGGCCTCAGGTGAACAAAGGTAAATTTTTCATTTGGCATCAAATTTGGGGGTTTGCTGTCATAAGAGTTCTCTTCCTTCACCCTTCCTGAAAGTATGTAAAGACGTATTCTTTGTCTGGAGGGGTCAATTTTGTAGTAACAATAGGTTGTAAAATATTGAAAGCTTACTGTAAATTTTTTGGGAAGCAAGAAGGATAGTACAGAAGACTGATTCTGGGGCATCTTTGTTTGCAGAGCTTTTTAGTGACAGTTTTATTTAACTTCTGATGACTGCATTTCAGCTGGTCACGTTTCAGGTACCTTGCCAGGATGCAGTCAGATCATCGTGAGGGGTGAGTCACCCTTTGGAACTGCTGGGCGCTCTCCATTATTCTAGGGGTTGTTTGCAGTAGCTGGCTCTGATGCAGAGCTCTGCACGTAGCTGAAGGTCAGGAACATGGATGCTAGTCTGCTGCAGCCCTACTGGCAGTTTCTTCTATTGCAGAAATTGTAGTGTGTGTTAGTGCAGTCTGTCTAGGACAAAATTTTGTTCCACAAGTAGTTAACTGAGAGACTTGCAGTTTGCATTCAGGGGCAAGTAAGATGCATATGTTAAAGTTATGTCGACATAAAATGAAGAAAATAATGGCATGAATGTATGTGTCGGAAGATTAATACAGCGTTTACAATTGAAGCAGTATGCTTGCAGTACATGTAATGGATATTATTTTGTTCAGAGCTACATTCAGGTTCTGAAATTGGTTATTGCCAGTTGTATTTCAGCATCTTAATCTGACCTTTGACATCCCAGTTCTGGGCAAGAAACAGATGTAAATCATTCCAAGAAGGAAATTTGCACTATCAGTACTTACAACTGCTAAATAATCTGTTTTAGCAGAGCCCTTGTGCTAAAAAATGTTTAGATAGTCTGTATAATAACAAATCAATAAAAATGATTGGAAGAGAAGCAGATTAGTGAAGCTTGTGAACTACCAAACTGATGTAGATGTTTCATTATCCAAGAAAGTTAATTGGAAACACCATATTGGCACTGATAATACCTTGTTGATAATACCACTATGTGGTTCAACTGAGTGCTAACTTAGGACCAAAGCAGTGTGTTTTTCTTTTGGTTCCTGCTCCTTTGGAAACTGAAGAGGGAGAAGAAGGGCACTGGTGAGACAGTAGTTCTATTTCCTTTTATTTTTAAGAAAAAGGAAAAGGCAAAAGTTCAAATATGTAGTTTGGCAAGGGAAGTCAGGGGCAACCATAAGATATGCAGCTACTTACATCGCGTCTTAACTTGCCAAGCATTCAAATACTCACAGCTTGCCTCACCAACGTTGATAATTTCTTCTAAAGTACATGTAAAATATCTTGGTCAACTTTGCTTCCCTTTTGTCTGCATCTATGGAAATTTGAACCTTTTTGTTAGAAATAAAACCTGAGATTGTCAAGTAATCATGTAATTCAGAATTAGGCTTCCAAAGGAAAAACAGGTGGCTGAAATAATAAGAAACTATATTACTGGCAACTGTGTCTCAATTAAAATAACACCAATTATTGTGCTATAGTAGAGCATTGTCTGCATGAGTAAAAAGTTTTGAGCGTTATAAAAAGTTCTTGTGTGATAAGGCAATTGTGACTTGTTCGGTTTTGAACAATAATGAATGCACAACTGAATGTGAAAATGTAGAGAGTTGCCTGCAATGCTGAATATCTGTTTTATTTTAGTTCTTCATCTGTTTCTACTGATGGTCATTACAACAATGCTCTTCAACCTGGGTTCTGCCAAAGCACCCATGAGTAACTTTATATAGAAAGGAAACCCTGTATAACCCTATATTGCTTGTTTGGGGGATTATTGATATAAATTATATTGGTGTGTAAATGACTGCAAGTATTGTAGAGTGAAGATTTCAAATTGTTTTGAAAAAATAGTAGTCTGTGCGAAGTTGAATATCTGTGATGAAAACTTAAAGGAAATGAGACCAAGAAGTTGAAAATATTAATAAACTGTGAATTATAACCTGTATCTGGGAGAGTCGGAGTTGCTACTAGATGTTTTTATTTAGGCTTAAATTAAAAATGTGTACTCTAAAAACAAAAGAAAAAAAGACCTCTGATATGGCAGTTATCTGTATTCACCAGACCATACTATTTACACTATCAGAATACCACCTTAAGATTTTGGCTTCAATTCCTCTTTAACACAGGTTTGATTTCAACAGGGAAAATGAGGGAGGTACATGAGCGCTGGTGGCAGTCCCTCAAGTTCTTGATCTTGTCTTTGTTGATTATTTGCAGATCGTGTTCCCATTATATATTCTTAAGCTTTTTATTTTACTTTCTAGCTTTTTGGATAAAAATAGTAGGTCAGTTGTTACTGTTCTTTGTGGGAAGATAGCTGTTCAGAAAAGTAATGCATTTGCTTGAGAGTAGTGCTTAGTATGAGTTTTCTGTTGCAAATGAGAATTTTAAAATTGACTCCTTTAAAGGGAAACTGTATAGTCTGTGAGCTACTAATGAGCTGGATTCACTGGATGGGAAGAGTTATTTGTTTTGTTCCATCTCCCTCATCTTCCTCTGCTATTAAACTTAGATTTATTTTTCTGGATGAGCCTTTTAATTATGTTCTTTGTCAATTTTATTGCAATTGCATCTAATACAGTTCTAGGAAGAAAAAAAAAGACTATTTCCGGAAACAATTTTAACACACTTTTTTTTTTAACTTAAAAAAGCTAATTGTATTTGTGACTATTGTTCTTCATGACCTATTGTATCGTATATAGGATCATGAAACATTAAATACTGCACTGGGTAAAATAAATACATTTTCTATGTACTCACAAAAATGTGCAGAAATAGATTTTGCCAGTAGGTGACACTGTTATAACATGTTTGTTTCTTAATGCCCCCATTTCCTATTCAGGATGTCAGTAACCTGATTGAATTAAAAAATTTCTGAGGTTGCCTAAGAAAGGAAAAGAAACGTATGTCCCACTGATGCAAAAGCACTTCTTAAAATGCCGTGGTTTTACTTACGTGTGTAAAGTAGCTACTGTAGCTTAGTAAGCAAATATATGCGTATTTAGCGTATTTAGTTTTGAAATCAAAGTATATGGTTAATTTAGAATCAATTTTTTTCATAAACCAGGAAAAAGTAATAAACATTAAGATTTTCTTTTCTTTTTTTCCAAGAAACATAACGCATTTAAGCAGCTGAAGGGTTTGTGTACAAGAATGGCCCAGGAGCCTGGTAGAACATTCGTATCATGTACAAATATCATAATTTTTGAGGCTCCTATTCATGCATCACTGGTGTGGAGTACTTTATGTATCATTTCATGGAGGGGAAATTCAGGGATAGAAACCACTGTAGCATGGGATCTGGCATCTTGAATGCACTTGATAGGCTTTGCAGTTAAGTTGAGCCTTTGAGTCCTTAAGTAGCTCTGAGATCTGACTGATTTATCAGGATAATGGATCGTGTTGGTGTTAAAATTCAGTCCAAAATTTGAAATTATCTGGTAGGATTAGCGCCTGATTCACTGAATTACTTGTCCTCAAAATTATTGTTCTTCTTGTTTCTCTTCTATTTCACGAATTTCCTCTTAAAGTAAATAATAACGTCCATGAATTACATCTGTGAAAATACATGGATTGCAGGGAATCATGCAATGAAAAGGTTAAAACTGCATCAAATAAATTTAAGGAATGTTTTAATTGCAATAGCAATCACTCAGTTCCTATATATATGTATTCCCATTTACAAGTCATAATAAAAGAAGTACAAACTTACACAAATATAATTTAAAATGAACATGTAATGTTACGGTCGTTATACTTAGCATTGTTACATCGTTATTGAAAATCAATACTTTAGGTTTTAAAAATTTGAACAGTTTACCATATGGAAGTGTTGCATTATGTGAATGATGAAACTGAACTGGGAGGAGTATTGGGTAGTATACACTAGAGGACACTCCTCAAATGGAAAGATACATCTTTTGTTTTGCGTGCTTTAGAAACCATTTGATTTGAATTGCTCTAGAGGTCAAAATCATAGCTCAGGTAAAGTAGGATTTGTTAAACAACACTTTCTCAAATGTAGCATGAAATGGAAACAAGTAGTTCTGAACTAATTGTGAGGCAGCTTAGCTGGAAAGTGTGGCTAGTGAATGTGCAGGAAACACAATACCAGACATACTTTGTTATATGTCAAATCTTTATTCCGTACTTTTTAAAATTGTAGCAAATCTGTGGCTTCAGGTGTATGTATAACGTACACGAACGCCAGGCTCTTCTCCTTCAAAGCAGCAGTGTTCATTCTTGCAGATGCTTACTGTCCTGTACCAGTTATCTTTTTTACAAGTGTCACAAACTCATCAAAGGTGACACTTCCATCATTATTTTTGTCCATCGATTTAATTATGTTATCAAGTGAGAATGAATCCTGTTTTTAAAGGAAAAGAATTAAAACAAAAAAAAGAGAGAGAATGAAATAAAAAGACTGGCACGACTATTTTCCTACGAAGAATGTTGCCAAGAAGTGATGCAGTCAATAACAGTCAGTGTTATTTGAATGTTTTACTGGTAGTGTTGTATTTACCAGTTTTACTGGTTAGACTAGAAACACAGTGCCTGCTGTCGCCTGCCAAAAATGTTAACAAAGATATGATAACCATTTTAGAAGTATCAAGTATTACTCAGACGGGTTACTTCAGTGTTGTGGGTAAATTTCGAATTTAGGAAAGGGAGCAGGTGGAGCAGCTGCAGCATGTACACAGTCAGCAGCAAAAAATAATATGCATACCACCTACTGCTTTATTAAATACTAATTTGGGCCCTGCATACACTATTTGAAAACGTGTTGCTACTTTTGTTAGGCTTTGGACCAGCACCTGAAAGTCTCTTTC